AGGAGTTCAATTTTCCTTTTATTTTTACAATTCTACATGTGGTAAGAATTTTAATTATTATTATATATTATAAATGAAATAGAATCCTACTTTGACTTGTTGGTAAAAATTAAAAACTTTTAGGGGGCGTTTGGTTCACGGAATCTTGGATTACCTAGGTCATCTGAGTCTGGTAATGTTATATTACCTTGTTTGGTTCAAGTTATGAGATTACCAGGTAATGTTATATTACCTGAAAGCTGATGTGGCGGTAATGTTTCAAGGTAATGTGATTACCCCCATTTTTTTAGGTAATCTTAGATTACCTTGAATCATTCCAACTTTGCCCTTGTTAACTAATAATAATAATAATAATAATAATAATAATAATAATAATAATAATGAAATTAATATATGTTTATATAATCAAATATACATATGTGTATATTTATATATTTAGTTTTTTTTTAATATTTAAATTTTGATATACATTCATACATATAAATAAATAAATACACACACATAATATATATATATATATATATATATATATATATATATATATATATATATATATATATATATATATATATATTATTGAGGGCATTATTGTAAATTGATTCATATAACTTAAAATATAACCCTGAACCAAACAAGGTAATATTATATTACACCATCCATACCAAACACACAAGGTAATCTTACATTTCCAAAATCTCACATTACCTTCCAGGAGGTAATCCTATTACCTGGGGTAATCCAAGATTCCGTGAACCAAACGCCCCCTTAGACCTTTCTGTCTTATAATAATTACATTATATTAAAATTTTAAATTCTAAAATTTTATGTATTGTTATAATTATATTAAAATTTTAATACTAAATATTTGTATTTTGTGAAAACTATATCTAATTATCATATTCAAATTAAGAAAATCCAATATAACCAAAATTTGTTGAGTTAGAACACAAATTATTTAAAAAATCAAATTAAAAAAATTTCTATTTTATACAACTAAAAATTTTAAATTAAACTCTTAAAAAAACAATATTCTGCATATAAAGTCATATTCAATGTTGCAAAACACATTAGGCTCCAAGGGGGGCGCCTAGGCGCCGATTTTTTTTTTTTTTTTTTTTTTTAATAAAAAAATTTAAAAATTAAAAATTATCAAAATTCACTTATAAAACATAAGGTTCCCATAGTTATTTCTTACAAACTATTTACGTAAGTGGTTGTAAAATTGTTCAAAAGATTGTTTAAACCGTCTAAATACATAAAAAAAAAAAACAAAAATTAAGAGTTAAAGAAGCATTTTTTAAAAAAATTAGAGGGCCAAACTGCCTTTTGGTTGTTTGCGGTGTATAGATCTCGAAAAAATACGCGAGTTGAAAAAAATAATTGTCCAAAACGGACAATCGAGTCAAAAATTATGTCTCGACAAAGTTTTAAACCCTAAACCTAAAAAATAAAATAAAATAAAATAATCGGGCAAACCGACTGGCCGATTCCAGCCTTCCTCGCGGCGGCCGGGGCTCGCCTAGGCGCAATTTTTGCAACACACTAGTCATATTTGTTGTAAGATTGTTCATAGCCATAATCACATACAACCAAAAAACAAAGTAAAAAGGAGAACTAATAATTGGGTTTCCAATGAGACTTGAACCAATGACCTCCCATATGAAAGTCCAACCTTAATATCATTGGCTCACAAAGTCTTAATATGTGTATATATATATATATATATATATATATATATATATATATATATATATATATATATATATATATTGTTTTTGAAATACTTATAATTCTTTACAAGGTAATATCTGTTCTATACTTTCATATTTTCAGCCCAACAAATCTAAGCCCCCATCACCGAGGTTTGAACCTAACCAGGATGTCATCACACTACATGGTAGTTGACTATATGTATATAATTGATATTTTTATTGTTTTTCTTATATATTATATCGAAGGGTCAATGGTTTCTTAGCATCAAATAATTTGGATTCCAAAAGCAACCTTTATAAATAATGGGGTTGAACTTTGAAGATGAAAGTAGCTAAAATTGTCAACAACCACGTGAAAATCATTTTGCTAATTACGTGTTGTTTTTTCTTTCCATCAAAGGTTTTGATGAATGAATTCATCTTTCCTGTGTTACATCGTTGTTGGGTCAAGGAGAGGGGATACCCATAAGCACATCATTAAAATATGATTGCATATTTACACCTAATTCTGATAATTCTACCTGGAGTGTATAATTTTTTTTTAGTTCTACCTGGAGTGTATAATTTTTTTTAAAAAAATTAGTCAACACGTTAAATTATACTTTAACAAATTGATCGACAGTTGCTTGGTAAACACAAGGTTTCAAGTGTGAGGATTGTCTATTGATCTTCTTAATTTGAGCCGATCAACTATGGGTAATTTAAGTTGGTTTACCTAGCTTATTGTGCTCTTTTACCGATTAGGATCATAACGCAATTTCGCTAGGATGATCTTCTTGATTTGAGTCGATCAACTATGGACAATCTAAGTTGATTTACCTTCTTTCAATCATTTACGGACTAGTGTCATATGTGGTTCTTACCTATATTGCACCTTTTAATGGTTGGTGGTTTACCTAAGTATCGATATATGAAATATATTGAAAAGAACCTACAATTTGGAATCTTCTTGAATTCAATCACTCTTTTGCGAGTTACATTTTTAAAAAACTTTTATTTTGCTACAAATTACTCATTTGGATTTTGGAGGCTAAAACTACCACCTCAATATCACCCTAGGGACTATAAATGGAGATGCTAAGAATAAAAGGATTAAGCCACTATATCCTCATATATGATTGAGAAAAAATTGTCATTTTCTCTCAATTTTGTAAAAGAAAAAAAAAAGATATATAACATTTCAAAGAAAAAAAAAACATTTCAAAAAACATTATGGGGCTCTCCTTGAGGGGACTTCACATAATCGAACCTCGATGGTAAGGTATTACTCTTTGGACCACAACAGATAGAGGAAATATAAAACAAATGCTACCTTAGTCAATACTACTAAAAAAACATTTTAAAAAAATTAGTTTTAAAATGTGAGTCATACAAATCCATATTATTACTTATTGGTTTGACATGGTCCATGATAATGACATCTAAGAATTTCCCAAGAAAAAAAGAAAGTTCAAAAAATTAGATTCGTGGAATCAAATCATGATATTGATTTATGGGGGCACATTTATGCATAGTGGGCAATACAAAAGTATGTGTTGTGAAAAATGTTTTACTCCTGAGATTCTGTTGTTTTGTCAAATATTCTAAATCAAGAATAGTAAAATTTATTGGCATAAATGCAAAAATTTCTATATGAAAAGTTCAAAAATAAAGTTTCATCTCTTATATAACAAATAATAACTTATTTACATTTTATTATACTTAAAATGTTTAATATATTTAATTATTTTAATTTGTTTAAATTTATACATTCACTTTCCTATTATTATTATTATTATTATTATTATTATTGAAGGGTATTATTATTATTATTATTATTATTATTATTATTATTATTATTATTATTATTATTATTATTTATGATGAAAGAAACCCACAACCACTAATCGATGGTGTATACCGGGTAAACCTCTCACACCTTTGTAATAGTCTGCAAATTATACATGAGAGGTAAATTGCACTAGAAAAATCTCATACGACATGCTCAACCAAGAGAGTGTTGACAAGAATCTAACTCGTGACTTTTATATATGGAAATCATACTCCACTGATTTAAAGACTTCTTTTGGGAAACTTTCCTCTTATTTGTAAAGAGTTATTGTAAAATTTTCCTAAAATGAATATTAAAAAAGTAATTTTAATAAAAATAGAAAAATACACCATTTCTTTAATGGAAAGACTTTTGTGTCACAATCATGGTTGCAAAAATCGCGCATAGGCGCCGATCTAGGCGCTAGGCGGCCACCGCGAGGAAAGCCAGAATCGGCCTCCTCCGCGGCCAGCTATGCGGTCTAGGCAGACGCCTAGACTGCCTAGCCGGTCGGTTCGGCGATTTAATTAATTTTTTTTTTTTTTGCGTTGTAAAGTGTTAAAAGTTCGGGAAGGCATAACTTTTGACTCGGTTGTCTGTTTTGGACAAATTTTTTTTTCAAATCACGTATTTTTTCGAGATCTATCCACGGCAAACAGCCGAAGGCAATTTGGCCGTCTAATTTCTCCAAAACATGCTTCCTTTGCTATTAATTTTAATTTTTTATGTATTTAGATGCTTTCAACAATATTCAAAACGATTTTACAATCACTTATGTAAATAATTTGTAAGAAAAAACTAGAGGAACCTTATGTTTTATTAGTGAATTTCACAATTTTTAATTTAAATTTTTTAAAAAATAAAAAATTTAAAATTTTAAAAAAATTTAAAAAATAATAATAAAATATGCACTAGGCGCCCCCGGCGCCTAACGTTTTTTGCAACCTTGGTCACAATGCCAAAAAAGTTAATTAATTAATTAAAAGGAATATTTAGCGTTAAAATGAACTAATTTTAAAATTTACTAAATTAATCAAATTAATAATAAATAAATATATCATATAATCAAGTTTTGGTTAAATGAAAATTTGATTTGAAATTAATTGAATAATTACTTCTAAAAAAATACTTTTTTGTCATATACCACTTCTTTTCTTAATCACAATATGACTAAAATATTCAATCTTTTTATTTTTGGAAAGAACCACAGAAATATATATTTTTTTTAAATCTATTTCTTTAAAAACAAATCTATTTACAAAGAAACAGGTACGGACCTATAGATTTAGAGGGATTGCCTAAACAGGAAAGAATAATCTGTATTTCCGTACACGTCAACGAAACGGCGTTCCCCGATAAACACCGTCAACAGAATTCCCAAACGCCGTTAATCCCTACTCGCCGTCATCGTTCAAACGGCGTTTTCACTTCCTTCACGAAACGGAGTAAGCGTTGGTTCCAGCATTCAGAGAAAAGAACGCAACACAACGCATGCCTTTAAAAACATCTCTTTCACCATAGCCGAAAGAAACGAGAGTATCAGAGAGAGAGAGAGAGAGAAAGAGAGACAATATATATAGAGAGAGAGAATATAGAGAGAGAAATACAGAAATCAAAGTCGAGCAAACATATCTTTGGTTGGGAAAAGAAAGCTTAATTTAATCCGATAGGTATATATATTAGCGAGGCCTAAAAAGCAAATGAAAAAATCCTGAAATTTCAACGATTGAAATCACTTCCTTGTTACGCACGTGGAATTCTGAGAGCTCGATCGGTTTGGTAGGTTTTGATTTCAGTAAATTGTTACTTCAATTCTCTTGATGTTGTATGTTCTGGATCTTCCTCCTTCTCATTTCCTCTGCTTTCTTCTTCAGTTGCATTTCGAGTTGAATTCTGCGTAATTGGATTGAAGGATGTGAATCTGTCTGGAATTTGAATGCGACTCCAACTGATTCCGCAGCGGATCTGAGCGACGGTTATAGAAATTGAATTTCGAAATTCTGAGATTTCACGTGGATATATGATCGTGAATTCAGTTGAATTTTGCTGTATTATAATACACTACTGTTTTTTAAGAAATCGCAACCTGTAGAACAATTTGTAGATGGAGCTGCCTCAACCTAGAGCTTTTGGAACTGAAGGTAAACTTTTTGAATTATATGATTTTTTTTTTTTTTGAAAACTTGAATTATATGATGATGAAGAAGAAGAAGGGAAAGTAGTGAATTACAGCGAGTTTGAATTTGATTTGAAATTTGTGATTTTATCACAGGCGGAAAGACAACACATGACTTTCTTTCACTGTATTCATCCCTCGAGCAAGATTCCAGACCTCCCCAAGGTAAAATTTTAGTCCATGCAGAAAGGTTTAGCTTTTACTTTTTCAAAAATTTAAAATTCTTTTCTGAATTTATATATACAAAATATTATTTTCCTTTAATTGTGTCAAGTTTCTTTTCTTTTATTTTTTTTTTCTTTTTAATGGGGAAATTTTGAATTCAGTCATTTGTATATTTTTATAATAGCATTTGATTTGATATGGTAATTAAGTTTATCCAATTTGATATTTTTTTAAAGTTCATCCTAACTTATTAATGATTTTTTTTAATACTATTAATGATTATTTATTTGTAATCTAGTGGTAAAGGTTGTCCTATTAATGCAGTAAATTCCAGCATTAGTATAATCTTGACGAAAGTAAAATTAATATATGCAATTTTCTCTTTAACATTATCCCTCAATACATAAAAGAAATAAAAAGTAAAAGCATTTTCTTCTTTTTCTTTAATATTTTGGGCTTTAGTCATTTTGGGATCATCACCTTTTGTCCTCCTCTCTTTTGTCACTTTTTTTTTTTTTTTTTTTTAATTGATTTTGAGGTGGGGGTGTTCCCCCATAAGTGCAAAGTCATGGCTCATGTAGAATCATATAAAGCCGATATAATTTTATTTTATTATTATTTTTTTTTTGTTGAAACCAAGCTGATATAAATTCTTGACAGCAACCTCATATAAGTGTATGTGTACATATTTTTAATTTTCAATTTTGATACTTTTCTTTTCTAAACTTTTAGACTTTGATTGACGAAGGTTTCAATTTTTTTTTTTTTTAAATTTAAGTGCAAATTTTTTAATTGTGATATGCAAATTTTGATGGAAAATGGAACTGTCCAGACCACCGGTTACTCGGGCACGAGCGGTGTATATAATGTAGGGACCATTTTTTTAAAGATTATGGTCTACATAGCTGTGTGAATCACAAAAATAAATACATTATTTGTGTATATAAAATACATTATTTAAATACTGAAAATATATTATTTTTACTATTAAATAATGTATACACAAATAAGTACTTTTAGTATATTAAAAACATACCTTGTATTCATTGAAACTATATTATTTTGAATACTGTCAAATAATGTACATTCAGTATGCAAATAATATACTTTTAGTATATTAAAAATTTATATTGTATTCATGATTCACACAGCTGTGTGAGCAATGGTCTACAGAAAAATTTGCCTTAATGTAGTGGGCAATTTATATCATAGACTAGGGTCCACATAGCACTGTGAACCTTGGAGCAAAACGATGAGGTACAGAATTCATACTCGTAAGGTACATAATTTCATAACATAAAATACACAAAATTAAAACACAAGATACATACACATGTTATATATTTACTTATTTTTCAAATATGATTTAGGTACAAAATTTGTGTTTATAGGCATAGAATTTCACAACACAAGATACAGAAATTCATAACATAAGACACAACTACTAATTTATTTTGAGTACATAATTCATATTATTAAAATACAAAAATTTTATAATACAAGATACAAAAACTCACAACATAAAATATATACACATGCATGAGCGCTTACCTTGTCCATGAAATAAGGATGGAATATAGTGTGACCCCAGCCTGTATTGCTGAAATTGTTGATGGGTCAGGGCCATGTGCTTTGGGTGGGCCACTTGCCTTGAGAGGCTGACACCGCTGAATCAAGAAAAGGATGGGGGCTGAAACTGGACTGGACTTGATGCCATTCAGAGAGAGTACTTGGGAATTGGGCACGTGTGTTACGGCCTGGGTAATCTTGGTAGGCCCATTTGAAAGCACCATTTGATATCATTGATTGGGAGAATATGTGTGCATGCCATGTCACATGCACTTGATTTTCTCCAAATTCATACATATATATATTTTTTGAATGTACTCAGAGTTTCCACAGTCATTAAATTCATACATATATTTGGTTAGTGGTATTAGGAAGTTCCTGCACTGGTATACACCAAGGTGCACTAGGCATATAAGCATACATAGGCTAGTAGTTATACTAAGAAAACCCGGATGTGGAATATTGGGATTTTCGTATATAAGCTAATATTCTTGAACTACACAGTATAGATGGTGGATATTTATTTTTGACTTGCATCTAAATATTTGGTGAGAGAGAGAGAAAAAAAAAAAAAAAAAAAAAAAAAAAAAAAAGAGTGGTCCTGCTCCTGATTGGCTAGGAACTTGATAGTGGCAAACCAATTTGCTCTTTCTTTTCTTTTGTTTGTTTTTATTTCTTTATATTTATATAATATATAATTTAAATTATTATGGTTAAATGATATAGGATTTGTAAATATTTGGGTGAAGGATACTAATGATGAGAAGAGGATGTATTTGTATATATATATATATATATATATATATATATATATATATATATATAGGGAAGGGTTCATGTGCGGATATAGCTTCCTGTGCGGTTAGATCTGAGCCGTTGATCAAATCTAAATCAACGGCTCAAATTAATGAAAATTAAAAAAAAAAAAAAAAAACGCGTGTTTGGAAGAAAGCCACGCACGTTAAGTGTTAGATCTTAAGTACAAATTCACGCACATTAAGTACAAAATTCACGCACATTGTTGGACAAGAAGACGCGCTTTTGGTAGACGCCTTTGGTTTTGGTAGATGACGCTTTTGGTTTTGGTAGACGCTTTTGGTAGACACTTTTGGTTTTGGTAGACGCTTTTGGTCATTTAGACGTGCTCATGCTTCTTCATCCAACACACATTAAGCACAATCTCACACACATTAAGCACAAAATCCATGCACTTTAAGTATTAACTCACAGACTTTAAGTTTCAACAATTACAATTACTGATATTAATCACTACCCTCATGCACATTAAGCACAAACCCTACGCAAATTAAGCACAAACTCCACTCACATTAAGAACAAATCTCACGCACCTTAAACACAAAAGCCCACACTTTAAGTTTTACTAACTACTCACATTAAGCACAACCCCACGCACATTAAGCACAAAACTCACGCACCTTACGCACAAACCTCACGCATCTTATATACAAAACTCACACACATTAATCACAAATCCGCTCACATTAATGTTGACCTAAATACAAAAATTACAAAATTGCCACCGCTTTTTTTTTTTTTAATTTTGGTAATCCTGGACGTTGATTTAAGCAAGATGAATGGCCTAGATTAAACCGCACAACCGCACCAGAACCTAATTCTATATATATATATATATATATATATATATATATATATATATATATATATATATATATATATATATATATATATTAAGTGATTATATGTCACAAGTGGACTCCACACTATTTTAATACATTATGGATGCCCAAATTACTTAGAAGAAAAAATGGATGGGTGAGAAGAAAATAAAGAAGATAATAGGATTTTCCAATCCTTTCATAGTTTCATAGATCAGGAAAATAGATCATTGGAGCATTAATCTTGTGGACAATTTGATTCTTGACTTGACTAATAACATGTTGTTGGTTGCAAGGAAGGAATTAGGGGGAAAAGATTTGTAATTCAATAAAATAGGAATTCAAATTTCATTGTTTGATAAGTAAAAATATAATTTTGGATAATTTCAATTATAGTGTTTGGTATATATGAAAATTGAAAGGGAATAATAAGTCATATAAAGGCCAAAATGTCGGTATAATTGCAATTCATATGAAAAGATAGATTATTAGGGAGAGCAATTTGGTCCTCACATTCCAAATTGTTTTCCCGTGAATTATATGGAATTGCAATTCTTAGGGGAGGTGAAACTTACAATTTCTCAAATTTGAAGAATTATACTTTCATAGAATTGCAATTACTCATAGCCAAACTTTAAAATTGTTCATTTCTTGAAATTAAGTGGAAAAAATTACAATTCTTCTCTACCAAACATCCCATAATAGATAAAAATTTCATGAGCAACATGACTAACTAGAGTTATTAGGTTAGAACTCTTATTAAAGTATAACATAATTTACTCTTTAATACTATAACACAAAATGAATTCTATTCACCCCTAAAATATTATCCCTCATAATTTTCCTCTTAACATGACACTGTTTGATTGGCTAATTTACTTTTTCATTAAAAGTTGGTGGAGTCAACCAATTCGTGACACACAATATGTATATATTTAAAATTTTAATTACAAGATCTCTAAATGGTCCTCTAATTTTTCACTTGGGTGTGTTGAATACTCAATTGAAAGGTTTCTAGACTCAAATGGCTTGATCTTGAATGGAAGTTTGGATGGATCAAAATGCATTAAGATCATATTGTGAGCTCAATAAACTTGAAAGCTTTCCAGGATGTACCCTCAAGGGGAGCCACAAAAGTGTCATCTGAGCCCAAGGTGTTTGACTGTTAATCAAAATATATTCAAATATGCAAATATTAAAAAATAATCATATTTATAAAATTTTCAGTGTCATATTGAGAATTTATAAAGGGAAAAATTAGGAGGGGTAAGAAGCATTTTCTTTTATGAAAACGATGTTATGTTAAATATCTTTCTTATTGTCACTTGCATCATGCTAGCTATTATCAAAGGAAAATACTACATATACTCTCATTTCTTACTCCCTCTAACAAATTCTTGATGTAGACATATTTTCTGGGACCCACATGATGAAAATAACCAATCTTTGTTTGTCATGTCATGAAGTACAAGTGAGAGAGTAGAATTTGGGAGTAGATATAATAGAACTCATTATCAAATGATAAGTTCAAACAATCTCCTTGAAGAGTTTGTGAATCTGAATCTCAGAGGAAGATGTACTGAATACTGATTTCATTCTAACTGCCAATTTGTTCCTTTTCTGCTCCATTGCATTTAACCAAACATCTTATTCCGGACATGTTAAAACTTGGAAGTGGAAAGTATCTTCAATGAAAAAAAGTTTTTGAATCCGAGAAACTTGCTATGTTTTAAAGAAAAAGTAGGAAAATGATTTATAAAAAGAGTTAATACCAAAAATGGTCCTTGACTATAGTAGTTTTTCTCAATTTCGTCCTAAACGACTTTGGTGACCTAATATCGTCCCAGATTTTTGTGTTTCGCGCAATTTAGTCCCAGACTTTTGTGCTTTTGCTCAATTTAGTCCATCATTTGTTATTCTGTCCATTTGGTGTTAAATAAATAGACAATTAAGTAATTTTAATATTGGCATCTCTTTACTCATAGACATGTGAACTGCGAAATCCTTTTTTTTTTTTACGAATTACTCCCATAATTACTCCTAAAACTGCGAATATAAAATTTGATTTGCAGGTCCGGGAGTAATTCTGGGTGTAATTCGTACAAGAAAGAGAAATTCCGCACTTCACAAGTTGAAAGTAAAGAGAGATCAATATTGACATTACTGAATTGTCCCTTTATTTAACACCAATTTGACGGAATAACAAATGGAGGACGAAATTGAGCGAAACACAAAAGTCTAGGACGATATTAGGTCACCAAAGTCGTTTAGGACGAAATTGAGAAAAACCACCATAGTCGAGGACGATTTTGGATATTAACTCTTTATAAAAATGTTCCATTTCTCATTAGCTACTGAGCCACTGTACATGCGATAACAGGTGGCTTCCTTAGAACTCATGACTTCTTGCAACCACTAGAAGGAGCAGGGAAGAGTGTGGGCAAGGAAGAAATTGATGATGAGGTTGAAATGAGAGATGTGGAGAAGCCTCTTCCACCAGCTCATCCTGCAGTGGAGCATGTTCTTCCTGGTGGCATTGGGACCTATAGCATTTCTTACCTGCACCAAAGGTCTCCAAAGCCAAATGATGAAAACTCAGACTACAGTTCTTGCACAAGGAATGAATCCACTTTGAAGAAGGGAATGGCAAAGAAGGATAATTTTGCTGGAGATTTCAGAGCTGTTCTAAGAGGTGATGATGAACATTCACTTCATTTTGCGGCTTCCCATTTCTATTTTCCTCAAGTGTGATAGCTGATAAAGTTATAATATATTCTCTCTATTTGCATGTTTTAAGAGTTTAGTCTCACTACAAGAAATAGTTCATTATGATGTGGATAGATTCCTTGTGCGCACCGACATTTGGTGTTATTTAATGAGCCATTGGCATTTGGTCCTATTTAATGAGCCGGCACCGGCATTTGGTCTTATTTAATGAGCCATTGGCATTTGGTCCTATTTAATGAGCCGTTGAGTCACCCTGATTTACATCATTCCAAATGTTTTGTCTGGCCGGAGTGTGGGGGCTTTAGGAGGTGGGGATTCAACCTTTCGGGGGGAAGAAGTGAGTCATTGAGTCACCCTAATTTACATCATCCCAAATGTTTTGTCTGGCCGGGGTGTAGGGATTCAACCTTTCGAGAGAAGAAGAAATAACTCATTATTTTGTTGACGAAAGAAATCAGCAGCCACTACCCGATGGTGTAAACCAGCTTAGGTTGTCCATATCCCTTAATTTGGTCGGCGGAGTATACAACCCCTACTCAATTCGAGACCACAAAGGGGTTAAATGGTTAATGTTCACTTGTCTACTAATTCTGTGGTAAGCATAGTGCAGAGCGCTGAGATCAATGAAAGAAGGCTGGAATTCGAACTTGTGACCTTGTGGTTATAAGTTTGTATCATTAACCAACTTGGTTGGGGTTACCAGATGAGTTGTCCATCTTAAAACTGATCATGGAAGTGTTCAGTAAATGAAAATTTTTAATTTTTTTTTCCCCACTGAAATTTGATCTTTGGATGGCAGAAACAGGTATGAACAAAGGAGGAGGATCACAGCTTGGACAGCCATCACAAACACCCTCAAATCTTAAGAATAAAACTGCAACATTCAGTTCTTTCTTAGCCTCCCAGTCAGTTACCATTTTCCCCATTCATTTTGTCCTTCTGTACTGTTATGTTCTTATTTCATTTGTAATCCTGTGGTTCTCTTGCAGGCAATTTTCAGAACAAAACAATCAGAGCTTCTTAGACATGATCGCATCATCTAAAAGTGTGCGAGAAGATGACGGCGACTTAGAAGAAGAAGAAGAATTTGTCATTAAGAAAGAACAATCATTACACCCAAAAGGTTCTTTTTCACTTGTGTATGAGTAACTATTTAGTCTTTTATCATCTAGTTGTTGTCTTTTATAGTAAAAACAATGTTTCTTTATACAGGTAATTTGTCAGCTAAAGTTGATGAAAAAAGCAGTGATCAGAAGCCAAATACTCCACGCTCAAAGCACTCAGCAACAGAGCAGCGCAGGAGGAGCAAGATCAATGACAGGCAAGTTTTGTCATAGCTACACAATAAAGAATGCATATGAATATTAGTTATTTTAATAGGTCTCTATTCAAAATAAGCTAGCTAGGTATATCGTTGCTTCGTTGGTAGGATCAAACACTTACCGCTAACAATTCCCCCTCTCAACCCCTGTCAATCTTAGTGCACACATGTAACCTGGCTCTGATACTAGTTAGATCAAACGAAAGCGCAACTTTATTTTCTTATATCACCACATTTTTGAAAGGCTGGATGCTAGACTTGACCCTTTAATTTACTGGCCTCTGCCCAAAAATCCCCTAGCCACCAATTGCTTGACTTGGCCCTTCACGGGCCTCCGTCCAACATTTCTCATTATTTACATGTATGCCTTTATAATGCAGATTTCAGATGTTGAGAGGTATCATCCCTCATAGTGATCAAAAGCGAGATAAAGCATCATTCTTGTTAGAGGTTTGTGTGTATTGAATTGTTATGCCTGGCATATATGTATATATGATGCAAATGAAAATGCATTGAATATGAAACAATAATAATGGAAGTCTTAGCTTGATGCAGGTGATTGAGTATATTAAGTTTCTACAAGAGAAAGTACACAAGTATGAGGGATCCTATCAAGGCTGCAGGGACAATGAAACTTCAAAGTTGCCATGGGTGGGAAATCACATATTTTGTCTTTCTCCATATCTTCTCTACTTTATGAATTCTCAACAACTGTGTCATATGTCACATTTATTGGTGTCTTGATTTTCATTTAAACAGAGCAAATGCCATAGTGATGCTCAAGGTTATATTGATCATTCCCAAGGCAAAAATAATGTATCAGGTCCAGCACTGATGTTTGGTGCAAAATTTGGTGGGACCAGACCTTGGATCTCTCTGCCAATTCCCATCAGTGAGCAGAATATAGAATCAAACATGAAGCTAGCTTGTCCAAAGGAAAATGATCATCAGATTGAAAATAATGAAAAACCAGTCTCTCTTCCAATGCTCCCAAATGCATTTCCCTTTTGTGGCACAAGTAACATAGTGGCACAGCATTCACCTAAACTGGCACTTGGTAGAGATGCATCAACAACATCAAGGCATCAGTCTCAGTGTTCATCAGACAGATCACACATAACCAGTCAAGCAGTTGCAAGTGATAAATCAAAAGATGAGGACCTGACTGTAGAAAGTGGTACGATCAGCATCTCAAGCATGTATTCTCAAGGGTAAGAAATCATTTTCTCAATATTTGATCTTGGCGCCTTGTGACCCTAGCCCACAAGAAAGTAAACCAGCCTAGGTTACCCATTACTGACCGGCCCAAATCAAGGGATCAAAAATTCAAACTCGTGACAAAGGACGGAACTACAGTGGGAGTAACTGCCCCCCTTCCCCACCCCCACCCCCACCCCTTATATAGTCCTTAGCTATATATATATATATATATAGTACATGTTTTAGAGTATAACTATAAGAAAACATATATAAATAAGAGTTGAGTTAGATAAGTTGGTCGATTATGTGTTTTATTTGTTTTAATGTTTCGTCTTCACTGGAAAAAATTTCTGGATTCGCTCTACTCATGACCTTGTGGTTACAAGTGTGTATCTCTTGCCATCTTGGTTGGGGTTACCCTTACATTGTATATTTGAGTATAGAATTAAATGTGGTTGTTTTATATGTCTAGTTTGTAATTGGTACTAAGAGATATATTGGCTTTTGTTCAGGTTGTTAAACACTCTCACCAAAGCACTTGAGAATTCTGGAGTAGATTTGTCCCAAGCCAGCATCTCAGTACACGTTGATCTTGGGAAGAGATCAAACGGCAGATTGAATAATTCTTCTGCATCCACACTCAAGGTATCCATCCTGTTCTCTGACTATAAAATTCCACACATTTTAATTATTGCAGTAATTATTTCTACATTCAAGCTTGATTATATTCTCTCAGGGTGATGATGTTTCTACAAGCAATCAACCAATGCCACACTCCATTACAAGCACCAGCCAAGGTGAGTGTGGCCAAGCCCAGAAAAGACTAAAAACAAGCAGAGGCTAAGCTGACATAAAGAACCAAGCATTTTCCACAATTTACTTGTTCATGGTTTGCTATTTATAACTAGTGGTATAGATATAGAAAACTACCCAAAGGAGATGGGTGATGAGTGTACATGATTAGTCTGCACAGAGCACAGGTTGTGTCCTTAACCAATTAACCAGCCTCCCTTATTCATTAATTGAGAGTTGTAGTAGTGGGATAACCCATCCAAGATGGCAAGAGATCCACACTTGTAACCACAAGGTGAGTTCTGATCTTTGTCCCCTTGGTTTGAGCCTGATTGGTAACATAGACTAATTTACTTCCTTGTAGTCCTTTGCTGGCTAGGGTCACAAGGTCGGCGGAGATTACTCACACTCGAAAAGGTTGTAGGGATAACTACATCCAAGATGGCAAAAGATCCACACTTGTAACCACAAGGTCACGAGTTCATATCCTTGTCCCCTTGATTTGAGCGGGATGGGTTAGCTAGACTGGTTTACTTCCTTGTAGTACTTTGCCGGCTAGGGTCACAAGGCGGAGATTACTCACACTTGACGGTTGTTGGGTTTCCCTTGTCATCCAAAAAAAAAAAAAAGTAGTAGTAGTAGTAGTATAATTCATGTATTTTTGTGGAGGAGAGACTTCCATGCATGGTGATGTTGAGAAGCTGTCTTTTTTAGTTTAAGGGTTCCATTCATTCCATGTGAAGCTCAATACTCTTATTTGCAGATTGATTTTAGTTCATATGATGATTTCAGAATTGAAGTTGGGTTCTTAAATACTAGTAACAGGATTTTCATTAAGCAGCATTTCCAAAATTTTCTTTTCTCAGGGGAGTGGATAAAATCTCTACACTAATTCATCTTCAACATCAGTATTAATTTATTCCACTACACACATCTGAAGAGACATGTGCTGCTAATGAAAATAAAAAATGAAGCAAATGAGTATCAAATATGCCTTCAAAGTAATTTGGTACACTAAAAAAATAAAGAATTCAATTCACTATTTTGAAAATTTTCAGGGCTCATTTGAAGGATAAATTCAATATCCACTATTGAGTATGACCTATTTTATTTATCATAAAAATGTAATATTTTTAAAAAGAAAATTTAACTTTTAGTTTCTCGATTATGGACTATTAGTCAATTTATGACCAGTCTTTTGTTTTTTACATTGTTGGCCTTTAATTCTCAACTCAATTGCTAAATTTGTCAAACAAATAATAAACTTCAAAAACACTATCTATAATTAGGGCTATTTTGAAACACTTTTCTCATAGTAATACCAAATGATAAATTTTTATTTTCTTTATGTTTTCACTCTTTCCCTTCAATTACTTCTCACAGTCATACCAAAGGTCAACAAGGGTCTTAGGACCCCAACCAATTAAGTTCATCGAGTTGTTTGCTTGATAATTACTCTGTATAAAGTTTTAAGTTCGATTTTTAGTGGGAGCGGCATATTGACATTTTTTATTTTAGCATGTTAGCTATGGACAACCTAAATTGGTTTATCTCATTATAATTCTTTGACTGGTTAGGACACAAGGTGGATTTCATCCTCGGATATTGACTACGAGTTTCTCTTGTTTTATTTCTAGATTAGCAAATAAGCTTGCTCATGCTTTGACAAGAGCAGTGGTTTTTTCAATCTGGTCCTCGTATTTGGTTTTCTACTTATCCTTCATGTATTCAACATTTGATTATTGATGCTTACTATATCCTTTTTTTTAAAAAGAAAAAAAAAAAGTGTAGATCCGACAAACTGCATTGTGGATCCTAATCCAGATTATGTACATGTATTTAACATATTATGTATTAGTTTTAACATTGTTATAAGTTCATAATATGTGAACTATAGCTAAATAAATTGGAGGTATATAATATTTTTAACTCTAAATACATAATTTGAAAAACATCCACAATGCACATGCTAAATCATGGTTCATGATATTATGATTGATTTTTTGCCTGATTAAAATTAAATAGAAATGGCAAATGAGTCAGGCTGAACCAACTCTGCCCACTACAATAGGGCTTGGACTGACCCTGAAACTAAATATGTTTGGTCCAACTCGGCCACTTGACCCACTAACTGGCAAATTATGGTCCACACAATGTTATGTGAACCATAATAAAATGTACATTTTTAATATATTAAATGTACATTATTTTTGTATTGTATGTACATTATACAATGTAATGTATATTAGTACAAAAATAATGTATATCTCCTGAATACAATATACATTATTTTTATACTAAATGTACATTTTTTTCTATTGAATATATATTATTTTACAGTATACAAAATATGATCTATACAATTTGTATAGACCATGATCCACACAATAATGATTGCCACTAACTTGCCCCAATAAAGCTTAATAGAAGTGGCAAATTAGTCTGCTGAACCAACTAATATGTGGCATGACAATATTCAAAAACTAATAAGTAGCTACATTCCTTCTTTATATAAGATATTGTTGGTAAAATCATCACCTATTATCCAATTCCAATCTTTTATGTAAAGTTTCAAGTTTGAATCTTGTAAACGGAGCAATAGCCATTAGGAGAACACCCCCATATAAGGCAATCATGGTCCACACATCTGTGTGGACAATATGATCAAATAATGTACGTTTAGTACATATATAATTTATTTTTAATATATTAAAAAGAAAAAATGGTGAGTTTGGTCCCTGAGTTATAATGGTAGTGACGATTCAGTCCCTGAGTCATGACCGTATCCATTTTAGTCCCTCAGTTATGAGCGAAGTGTCGCATTTGGTCCCTGACTGTTAAAATTGACGAAAAAATTAAAAAATATTTAAAATTTTAAGGGTAAAGTAGGAAATTCACATTTTATTCACTTTCTTATATTGAAACCACTTTTGCAACATTATTTTCAACTTCCCAGTATTCTATTTCAGGGTTCTTCAATTCCAAAAGCAATTCAATAATCTTCATATGACGAGTTAGTAACATGAGTCTCGTATAAGGAACCTGTGACTGATCAATACAAACAAGAGAATACTTGATCATTGTCTTCAAGCATTTAAAACACATCATCCTAAAAGTTTCTGATTTCTCTTACTAAACATAATAGTAAGAGAAATCAGAAACTTTTAGGATGATGTATTTTAAATGCTTGAAGACAATGATCAAGTGTTCTCTTGTTTGTACTGATCAGTCACAGGTTCCTTATACGAGAGCCAGGTTCCTAACAAGTCATACTAAAGTTATTGAAATGCTTTTAGAATTGAACAATCATGAAATAAGAGGCTAAGAAGTGAAAAATAATGTTGTGAAAGTGGTTTTGATATGAGGAGAATAAAATGTGAATTTCTTACTTTACCCCTCAAATTTTAAATATTTTTTAATTTTTTCGTTAGTTTTGTTGGTCGGGGACCAAATGCGCCACTTCGTTAATGACTGAGGGACTAAAAATGTATACGATCATAACTCAGGGACTGAGTCAGAACTTAGGTATAACTCAGGGGCCAAAGATGCAATTTTCCCTATTAAAAATGTATATTGTATTCAGGGAAAATATATTATTTGAATGCTGAAAATACATTATTTTGTATAATGTACATTCAGTACACGAATAATATACTTTTAGTATATATTAAAAATGTACTTTTTGTTATGGTCCACACAATGTGCACTATAGTCCACACAATAATTTGCCAGGTCCAATGAATTAAACCTCAAGAACGAAAAATACTATAATAATTTTGCCAATGATCTTGTGGTTTAATGGTATAAAATGACTCTTCCAATTAGAAAGTCATTGGTTCAATCCTTAGTGGGGTAATATTGACTCTTTATTTATGCTTCAGTAGGTTGAGAAAGTAGTTATAAACAAATACTATATCCTATAGCACTCAAAAAAAAAAAAAAAAAAAAAAAATACACCTATGTAGCATGGCAGATAATATCAACATTTTGGTTCATTATGTTCACTTGATTTATATTATATACAACAGAGTACTTGATAAATATTTTTTTGTGTTGAAATTTCTATTCATTAAAATTTCATTTCATTTATAAATACACTCCAAACCTTAGCTTTGCTTATTCCTTTATAACATAAGCTAAGTAGCTTAATAGCGTATTAATTTTCTTGGCAAGAAATGAAGTATACCTCATTTCATTGTCTTAATTCCTTTAAATAAACACACAAATATCATATCATATCTTATCTTCATCCACATTCCGAAACAATCCCAATCAAATTGGTCAGATAATTAAATTGCTCCCAAAGAAAACTCGATAAACTATTAACAATTTAGATTGATTTATCTTCTTATAGTCTTTTGCTAACGAAAACCATAAAGTATATTTTATCCAAATCACACTTTCAAATAGCGGCTGGAGGGTTTTTCCGTAAATCAAATGTCCCCATCTCCCCCATATTGTTCCTTAATTCATCAACCAACACTTCGTTTAATACACTATATTGCAATATATTTATTCTTTGAAATTGTTGAGAGCATGTGATATTGTGTGCTTGTTTCGTTTTGATGCATTCCATTAGTTGTTTTATTCTTCCGGTTAATGTCACCAAAAATTTACTCCGACCATGATGTGCTCCGAAAGAAACGTTTGATATTAGCACGAAATGACACAAATTAAATTATTTGAATATTCGCCACGTTTAAAATATATTTATATTAATATTTATAGTTATACCACTACCAACATTTTTTTTTAGCTTAAAGTAAACTATCACTACTACGGCATTTTTTAAGCTTAAAGTAAAAAATTCAAAATAATAACCCATTGTAGGCAAATTTCAAAAATTTGAAATAAAATAATTTCTCAAAAATTTCACTCCGCAATAACCAACAAAAATTCAATTCATCTAATGCACACGCTCTTTTTAAAATCGATTCGTTCGGTATATTTTGCTAATTTGATATATTTTAAAATATTAGTCAAATTAGGAGGTAAATAACCAATTTTTTTAAAAGGATAAATTAACATTTTGATCCCTTAATTGTTTCTCAATTGTTAATGTAGTTCTTAGTTTTCAATTTCAACCAATTGATCCCCGAAGTGTTTAAAATTTCGTCAATTAAACACTTCCAACGATCAAATTGACGAAATTTTAAAAATGTGAAAATCACTATTTTGGTCACGGAAAGGGTTTAATTGACGAAGTTATAAACAATTTGAGGATCAAATTGGTTGAAATTGAAAACTATGGACTACGTACATTGATGGTTGAGAAACAATTGAGGGACCAAATTGGTATTTAACGCTTTTCAAATAAAACTATTATGTGAACCAATATAATTTGATTATCAACAAAATATTTAATTCAATTAATGGTTAATTACAAGTATTTCAATTAATTAGACATTTTATCTCTCCCTTTTTATTTTTGATGAACAATATTTTGTTCACATGATATTGTCGGAAAAGCTCATACATGTAAATAGTTTGCAATATAATGTACGTTGGACCACCTAGAAATGGTTATAATTATAGGTGGATTTAAATTATCCATTAGTGCAATGAGCCGTGGATTATTGGCACTTAATTACTCCTGGAGAATAATGGATTCTTGGATCATTCAAACATATATAGAAGTATATTAATTGGGATTTTAAATCTTAATTGGATTCTTCATTTTGCACCCGATCCCAAATCAAGGATTTGACCCTTCCCCCTATCATATTTTATTTTATTTTATTGGAAAAATTAGTGTAGACTGTAGAATCTAGACTATGTCTGAGATAATATATGTTTACTTTGAAGTTTACGTGATGTGTTTAATAATAGTGTTGAGATATGAACTTGTAATAGGTATGGAAAAAACAAATTAAACTATTATTTTTCTAGAATACTATTTTGAAATATAATGGTAGTATGATTCATATTTTAAATCATTGTTGTGGTATTACAAATTTAAAGTTAATTCAAATTTAATTAGTTGATACTCATGATATTAGACCAAAAAAATAATTGTTAAAGGTTATGGCATTAGAGAACTAAAAGAAGAAAAAAAATAAAATTAACTAACTAAATGCAATAAACAAATTATCTTTTACAGTAAAAGTTCAAAATGATATACATACGATCTTTATTTATTTTTAAAATATATCATTGCTGAAAATTATGGAATTTCCGACCACCTGAAAGTGATCTTAAATCAAGTCGAAAGCCTTGTTCCGATCACTTTTGGTATCCGGAAAAATCTTTATTGCTATTTTTCGACCACTTTTTGCTTTCGACTTAATTTAAGATCACTTTCAGATGTTGGTCAAATAATTAGCCCGACTAAATACATAGCACTCAAAATTGAGCATCAAAGATTATAAATCATGAACTTTAAAAATCATTTGATTTTCTTACATTATTTTTATTTGTTAAAAATGTAGGTTAATTTTTTTTTTAATTTAATTAATCTTCTTTTGATTATTTAGAACAAAACTTAATATTTCAATTATGTTTTTGCATTATTGGAATGATTTAGGTCATTATGCTATTAATATTTTTTGTATTTTTTTATAATGGTACAATTGTACATTATTTTACAAATATTATACTATTATTTTTTTATTGAACAAAATTGTTCTTACATCATTGTCAGACCTGCGCGGTCTAACTACAAAGTTGTTGATCATAAATACAATTACACATGGACTCTAAAATGGTATGACCATTTTCCAAATAATTGACAATGTTAACATCCTACTGCTCCAATTGAACAAGTTTACACATCAGAATTTGATCAATGCATGAAAACTTTTAAAGAAATTTGTAAGTTAATTTTTACTATATCATTATAACAAATTAACAATATCTATTGTAACCATATAGGTATAGTTTGAATTATTTATTATCATCCTCTATTGACAACAATTGTAGCAATTGTCATTGACAAACGCTCAAAACAATTAGTAGCTACAACAAAAAATAATACATATGCATTTAATTAATTTAGAATTAGATGTCTATAATGCTTTATTTAAAAAAAAATTATTCATAATAAAAAAAATTAAAAGAAATATAATTTCATTAGTTATATTATTTTTATTTTCTACAATTCAAAGATTCATTACCTTCAAATTTATTAACTTATTATATTCACTACATACATTGTCCATCTTCTTTTTACATTATCTTGTAATTACATATCAAAGTTATAATGCAAAACATGTTATATATATTTATGAGTAAATTACACTTTTAGTCCTATGACTATAGGGGGCGTGTTAATTTCAATCCGTGACTTTTAAAACTAACAATTTAGTCCTTTAACTATGTTTTTTTTAGCAGATTTGGTCCTCCCGGCCAAATTTCGCCAGAAAAAGATAACACATTTTAAAGTATTTATAATTGGGGGCAACATGGTCCTTTCACGTCAGTTCTTCTTCTTCCATTACCGCCGCCGTCCTTTTCCTGCCGCCCCGCCATGGCGCTCTTTTCCCCTTCCATGTCCCTGGACCTTTGCAGGTATACCTTCAATGGCTCCACGTACTCTTCGAACCCCAGCGTCGTCATTGCCCATAGCAGGTCGTCGCCGTTGATCGTCTTCCGCTTCTCCCTCTGGCACTTGTACGACGCCTCTCCGGTGATGAAGCTTATGAACTCTGACACACACTCCTGGACTGTCTCCTTCGTGTTCGCAGGCAGCACCTTCTTCATAATACGGCTCACGTTCGCAATTGGGAGGAAACGGTCTTGCTCCCGTTGTGAGCTGTCGCCGTCGTGGCCGTCCCTGTGCCCTCCTGATTCGTTGTCGGAATCCGCCATTGAAAATAAGTTTTGGAGTATAAAAAAAAACGATATTAAAAAAATACGAAAACTATTTCACTAGGATTAATGAAGAAATGATGTGGAAGGACCATTTTGCCCCCAATTATAAATAATTTAAAATGTGTTATCTTTTTCCGGCGAAATTTGGCTGGGAGGACCAAATCTGCTAAAAAAAAACATAGTTAAAGGACTAAATTGTTAGTTTAAAAGTCACGGATCGAAATTAACACGCCCCCTATAGTCATAGGACCAAAAGTGTAATTTGCTCTATATTTGTTTACCAAGTATTTTATACAAATATAATAAATATTAATATTTTGTTCAATACTTTCACATGATAACCTACAACACACATCTCACAACACATGAAACATGTAGGGGAAAAACTACCAATACTATTTTGTAAGATAAAGAGTTCATATTACAACTAAAATCTCAGTCATATATACAACAAGACAAATCTAAAGTTTCATACACCATAATCTCATTGCATGATGAATCCCTCTATACTGTCACCACTAACCTAATTGCACATGACACACTACTAAAAAAAAAAAAAAAAAAAAAAAAAAAAAAAAAAAAAAAAAGGGAGGACATGTATTGAAGATAAAAACAATGACAATGCTACCCAAAAGAGAATTAAGAAGAATTAGAGAAATTTAAACCAAAAGTAGTATTTATTTAGACTATCGCTTTAAATTAAGTATTTAGACTAGCGTTATTACAAAGTTGCAAACATTTATTTTAATGACAATTATAATCAATATCTCATATATTATCTCGAATTTATATACTTTAAATTACCGATTTAAATAAACAAATTCAACATTTATTTACCTATGCACATCTCTTATATAACATTGCATTAATATACTTTGAAATACTTATTTAAAAATAATCATTGAGCATTATCTCATTCGCGCAAAGCGCGTAAAAAATTAGTACTTTAATAAAAGTTACTTTATGTTAACTTATCGTTCAAGTTCACTTGAATTAAGGGTTTTCAAAAAGTAAAAGATTTTAAAAATTATACAAGTCTATTCACCCCTTCCTGTCCCTCCCTGTAGACTTGTAACTCAAACCCCTCATGACCAACACAAACCTTCCCATCATCATTTTTAACTCATCTCATTGAAAGTTTGATCCAAGAAAATCATATTCTTCATTTTATCCATCCTACAAAGGTTTTCTTCCAATATACTTGAAACTTTGCTTTTAATCATATCCATCTCTAGTTCTTTTAAGCTTCATGTATAAAAACTTAGAAAGATTTCCCTACAAATTTATCATCCTCTAACCTTTCTAAGTTTAGATTGAGTCTTATTTGAGCACCAAATGTCATAGAGCTTCAATGTATACACTATTAGTCTAGCTGAGCTGAGAGACAAAATGTAAGGTGTATGATTTGTCATATTTGTTATGGTGTAAACATTGGATGTGTGAGAGGCAGTTTGTCCAACGCCAAGGATAGATATAGTTTATTGTGGCAACCTTGGCAATAAAGGGTGAATTTTTGTTATATCATTTGCTACGAAGGGGTAAGGGTCGACATAGAAGTGCTATCGGGGATGATGGTACACAAGGGACACATAAGACAGATAGTCGGTGTCTTGTCTTACTTTAAGTTACGAAAAATTAGTGTTTGTAGAAATGCTATCAACGCGATGAAGAGTGTGAACCCATCGGTGAAGGGTATTTATCCAGGATGGTAGCAGTGCCCACCAAAGAACAAGCGATTCGGAGAGTAGAGTTAGAAATCTTAAGGGATGTGCCCTTAGATAGTGGAGTAGGCATTATTGAACCACTATAAATTTGATGTTCTCTTTCCCTTTCTCCTTTAGATTTATGCATAGTTGTCATATATTTACCCTCACTTAGAATTGCATAAAATGGAGCTAAAGGAAAGGGGGGGGGGGGGGGGGGGGGGGGGGGAAAAAAGGTAAAAAAAAATGGGATCAAATGAGCTTGGACTGGAGTTATCAAATATCAACCAACAGGAAAAAAGATATTTTGCCAAATAAGCCCGCACAGCTTAACTCAGTGGTTTAGTAAGCAGTATGTAAGAGAAGAGACCAAAGTTTGAAACTTGACAACGGCAGTGTGGTAATTATGCTCAAAGTTGACAAATTCCTTGTGCGCACCGGTATTTGGCTATGTCTGCTGAGCCACTGAGTTACCGTGATTTACCTCCTCCCACGTATTCCATCGTCGAGTATGGGCGTGGTAGCCTTGAAGGTTGGGGATTCAACATTTTGGAAAAGATATTTTGCCAAATAATGTACAAAAAGCTTAGCTAAAGATAATTAATGACTGGCATGTGAATAAGTGCAAGACTATAAATTGTAGGAAATTTTTAGAATTCTATATATTTATATAGTACCATACCATACTCGATCTAAAAAATATAAATAAATAAAATCCATATCTAGAGGAGGTTCTCTTTTTTTTTTTTTTTTTTTTTTTTTTTCCTTTTTTCTTTTTTTGGACAAAAATAAGACATACAATTATATTTAAATATATTTATTTCTTTTTATTAAAGTTACAAAATAGTATTACTTTTGTTGTGCAAAAACAATGGCTGCTCTTATCAATATCACAAGAACTGTGATTAATGTTGTTGAAATGTTGAACATTGGCACCAACAATGGCTTCAATAAATTCTTTCAAACTGCAGCCAATTAAGAAATAAGAAAAAGAAATGCACTAAATTAGCACTTATGGTGACTGGAAATGAAGTGCTTCACCACAATAATATAATCGGTGAAGTGGGGGCAAAGTGGCGTAGTTTAAGGCATTCTTCTCCCCCACTTCACTTTATTTTACTGCTTAATCCGATGTATGATATGATACATGATAGGGCAATAACTCAAATCTCTTGCCAAGACCTTCTGGTTTAGTGACACCAAAATTGAATTTACATATGAGAAATTGTGGATTTGAACCTTAGTGGAAGTGGGCGAACGGATACTACATTGTAATAGAGTCACTAGCACTCCAAAAAAAAAAAAAAAAAAAAAAAAAAAAAAAAAAAAAAAACTCAAATCTCCTTATAGGTTTTTTTTTTTTTTTTTTTTTAAAAAAATATGTACTGATAATTTATTGCAAGGTAATATATGTTCTATACTTTCTCAAACATTTTCAGTCCAAAGAATTTAAGCCTCACTACCGAAGTTGGAACCTATAAACCAACCTCTAAGTCCCATCACACTACAAGGTAGTTGGTATAATCATTATACTTAGAACCATAATCATTACTGCATTATTGATGGTCCCAAAATCAACCATTATAAATCGCAAAACAAGGGTTCTGAGTCCTAGCCTGTGGCAAAAATTCAACTTATAAATGATGATACCTCACAAAATTACAAATTTATTTCTTTTAACTCTAACCCATCGCATATTTTAAATGGCTCTCAAGAAAAACTTGTGGCACTCCTAATTTGGACAGAATTTTACCAACCCCACCCAACCCATGACAGATTGACAAACCTTATCTAGGTGCCGGTGCAACTAAATCAAGTGTAGTAACATACCTACCCTGGTAAAATTCCATTCAAGTTAGATAGCTAGCCCTGATCCTAGGCAATTTATTGTAATTCGAAAGAGGAAATCACTATTTTGGTTCCTCAATTGTTTTTCAACTGCTAATGTAGTTTTTGGTTTTTAATTTCAAATAATTTAATCTTTTAATTGTTTAAAATTTTATCAATTAAACCCTACGAGGATCAAATTAAAGAAATTTTAAAAATAGGAAAATCACTATTTTGTCCCTCGAAAGGGTTGGTGAAATTTTAAACAATTCGATGATCAAATTAGTTGAAATTGAAAATTAGAAACTACATTTATAGTTGAGAAACAATTGAGGGACCAAAATGGTAATTTTTTCAATTCGAAATTAAAAGTGAAAATTTTTAGACAAAGAGGTTTTTGTTTTTTTTTTTTGTTTGGAAAATCTCACCATGTGATCTTACCCAGCAAAGGACCACAAAGAAATAAACCAACTTAAGTTGCTCATAACTAACTCACTCAAATCAAGAAAGTTAATAAGTCGCTCCTACTAGGAGTCAAACTTAAAACTTTGTGGTTGCCAAGCCAATAGACCAACTTGGTTGGAGTTGTTACGGGGTTTTAATTCTTTGAGGTATACTAATAATATCTACAATCTACAAACCTAATAAGAGCCAATAAAGTTAGGCCCCTAACGGGAACTAAAAAATATTGGTGTAATTATTTGTACATATTATTTTGATTTTAGTATTTTTTATTATTTTTCTTATTTTACCCTCTATTATATCACTTACTTTTCCTAAATACACTGGTATTCCGTCAGTGTAAACTTAGTAACGAAATATTCCGTTAACTGTTTATTATTCTTAACTTACTCATTGATTTTCATAAAGATCGAAAGTCTTAGGTTCGAGCTTAACATCGCCTTCTCACTTTGGAAGGTGACCCAGAGTCGCCTTCTCAGTCAAAGAATGCGACCGGTCACCTTCTAGAGTGAGAAGGCGACCTTACCTTCCTTCTCCTTGACCACCGATCATCGATTTCTTTTTTTTTCTTTTTTTTTTTTTTTGTCAGAATTTGCGTCGGAGTGTTGCCAGAGGGTTGGCAGAATCCTAGTGACCTGTGATAGCAAGTCACTAACCAGCTTTCAGTCTTTATTGTACCAAAATACAATGTTGATGGGCAGATTTAATTGCAACTTTAAAATGTTTAGGGGCCTAATTGTTAAAAACTTTTTTATGTAACTTAAATTTTAAGTACGAAAATATATGTTAACTTCATAGGGAGGGCCTATTTTTCGTGTCATGTCCCAGACTTATAAAATAATAGGACCGAGCTTAAATACGACATTTTTTTACTTCATAGTCTAAGTTGCTCATATGAAGCATGGTCGACAATAAAATTTGCCTAAATGAATACATTAGCATATCATTTTCATAGTTAACAAAAATAAATAAATAAATAAATAAATAAAATAAATGTGCCACGACAATCCCACCTCACCTAACAAAAAGCATTAACACTATGGAATGAATATGATTCCTTTAAATTGGTTTTTGTTCAATAAATTTATTATTAATATAATTAAGATAAACATGCACCACCACCCAAGTGGCTTTCAATACAGAATGCTAATTTGTCAAGTCATTTGGCAAATATAACAAAATTTGACCCATGGACCATGACATGAGCTCAGGTCACCTACCTACTTTTTAATAATTTGGTATATTATTCAATTATAGTCATTATTAATTATTAATTTTTTTTTTCTAGATCGAGTCAATTTGTGTGTACAAAAGTATTTAATTATACCATTTCTAAATTCCAATATCTAACATTAATTGATTAGCATTCTGTATTATATATTTTTTGGGGTGACCAGGGCGCGCAATTACTACTTGAGAGTATGCATTGAGTAAATCTTACTCTTGTGTAATAGTTTGTAAATTATATAGTAGAAATAAACTGTACTAAAAAAATCTTGTGAACATGTTCAATCAAGAGGGGATCCCACCAAAAATAAAAAATAAAAAATCAAGAGGGGAGTTTTTTGCACTTTTGATCCCACGACTATCGTGTCACTAACAACTTCAATCTACGACTTTTAAAACTTGTAAAATTGGTCCACGACTATGACTTTCTTAGCAAATTTGGTCCTTCTAGTGCATTTTACGTTCAATTTTTGCCGAACAATTTTACTCCCCATTTTAACAAGGATAATATTGTCTTTTCTATTTCACAAACTAATTAATGACATAAATAAATAAATAAATAAATAAACAACTAAAAATTTTTGGCGTTTAACGAGGAGGGTGAAACTGAAAGTGGAATTGGAATTGGAATTGGAAATGGGTGACTTTTAATTTCAATCACCGTACAAATGGCTGTGTTCAATTAATTTATTTATTTATGTCATTAGTTTGTGAGATGGAAAAGATAATATTACCCATGTTAAAATGGAGAATAAAATTTTCTGACAAAAATTGAACGAAAAATGCACCGAAATGACCAAATTTGCTAAGAAAGTCATAGTCGTGGACCAATTTTACAAATTTTAAAAATCGTGGATCAAACTTGTTAGTGACACCATAATCGTGGAACCAAAAATGCAAAAAAAAAAAAAAAAAAAAAAAAAAAAAAAAAAAAAACACTAAGAGGGTATTAATAAAAATCGAACTCCTGACTCTGGTACAAAAATCACGCTCCCTCCACTATGTCACTCGAGTTCTGCATTATATTTTTAATTGCACGAGTAAATGGCATCTATGATCTTAATTGCATGAGTAAATGTCATCTATGATTTGCGACAAGATCGATTAATTTATTGTATATTTGGTACAAATAAGTCAACGAAAATAGTATTTCTAGATTATTATATAGAGAAAATAGTGTTTTTCATCCATATATTTAACATAAAATAGCAATTTTAAAATTTGTAACCTTGGCAAATTTTATTTTACAATTGCCATTTGCCAATCAATAGTCTCTCTTATCATGAAGGAATTTGGCCCTATCTTCCCTTTTTTTTTCCTCAACTTGTAATTTAGTTTAAAGGAACAATAACAACAACAAACAAGACGGAATTCCATGGAATATATACATAAGATTTGTATGGGAGGATTTGAAATCGAAAAACACAGAATTTTAAGGGGGTGGGGATGAATGGTTCCAATGAAACAAATCTATATTTTTCATCCCTCTGTGTACACAGCCGTTGAGTTCGGTCAATATAGCCCCCCTGCAATGGCAGGGCGGCATCTATACATTGAATTTTTTTTGGATTTATTAAAATAAAATATACTCCGCTTGCCTGCCTGCCTGCCGGGGAGGGTCGCTTCAGGACCATTTGAAGTGCGTCGTCTCTCCCCCACCCGACTGGACTACACCCGTGGTGGCTGCTTTCCCAGAGACCTAATCTTTTGTCTAAACCTGTTGCACAACAGCAGTGAGTGGTAGTGTGTGTATACATACATTGCGCAACCCACCAGCGCCATCGGGGACTTAAAAACTAGTTCTTGCTGCTACATCCTCCAAACACTCCCACGGGTTGGCGTAGAAATAGTCCTCTTCTTTCGGTCTGTCTGGGATAACCAACCTCCGGGTTGGGTTTCCCATGCGACCAGCATGAGATTCCTTTACAGCATTAGAGAACTCATGCCATGTAAATGACCCTTCATCGTACCGGTCTATCAACTCAACCAGAACCTTTCGGTCCAGAAGGATCGTCTTCCTGTACCCAAGATGTCTGACAACAAACAATGTAGTAGCACTAGCAGGATGAGTGTCTATTTTGATTAAAATCTCAGACAAAACTTATAACAAGTTCAATACGAGATCAAAACTCAGCATTCTTCATTAGCAGCAAAACTAAGCATTTTTGTTCGGTCTAGAGATTAAAAAATTACCCTTAAAAACAAAATGAAAAACAAATTGTTGGGCGAAAGTACCTGCGGTGTCCTTCAACAACTTTAGCCATGTTTCCGTCATACGTAGGAATGAAAATATCACTCTCCAATGAAACAAGATAATCTAGTGCTGCCATCTGGGATGAGTGATTTTGAAAGAACCTAAGATCAGAAGGCTCCAACAGTGTCTCCTTTCTAACCTGTGTAAAAACAACCACCAAGCATAAGGTTAATCAAATCCGAAGTCCAGTTGATTAAAAGCTACTGTATATAGTTGAATTCCACCATCTCCACTAACCACGTTTGGATAAGATCCAATGAGACTAGCCATTCTTCTTTCTCCACCATATATTTCTCCAGCAGCAATGTAAACCTGGACATTAGAATCAACATCTAATGCCCTTAAAGCAAGAGCAGTTTCCTCAGGAGTCAAAGGGCATAAACCATCTTTCCTTTTCAAATCCGAATTGATGATTTTCTCCTTCCACCATGGATAAGCATACCTAACGTGACCATTGAGAGTTGGTAAAAATTTTAATGCACCAACACCAAGGCCTAGTATAATGGAAAACACGAGGAAGGAAAGGAGTTTACCTCATTCTTGTCAACTCTTCTGCCTCCTCCTTGTTGCATCCCTGTGTGCAACCAGAGAAAGCCAACATGTCCATTTCATATCTGAGATGGAGTACGATGAAAGGACCCTTATTCCTTAGAAGACTGATAACCTTCCTGCCCAACTCCTCAATCTGAGGTGTGAATTTCAGGGCACTAAAATTTACTCGGCAACGCAGCTTCTGGATTTCCATGGGCTGACCGTTATTTGCAAGACGGGAATCAGTTCTATTCAAGTGGACCACTTTGTATTTCCGTATCAAAGGAAGAATCTGCTATCAGAAATATATTGTTAGGGTGAAAAGAAGGTAGGACACGATAATTAAGAGGAAGAAGCCATCAAAAGATCAACCTGATTTTGATAATAAGACATATCAGACCAGCTAATAGGTGGCATGGTATAGATTATTCCTAGCTCCACTCTCCTCTTGAGCCTTGGAGGTAGCTCTTTCAATATCCGGACCTCATCTCTCAAGGATGTGATGAAATGATCAACATCAAATATGTCTTGAAACTCACTGCATGTTTAGCAATTAGTAAAATTTCAGCAAAATAAAAAAAGCGAGCAGAAGGGATTTTTCTTGGAAGGGGGTAGGACTTAAGAGAATTCTCGACCCGGAAACTTTGAAATTTTAGATAATTAACACACCTTGGATCAGCCCAGAAAGAGGTCTTATCAAGCTCGGGAACTATGAGAGTAACATTCAAATATCTTGCAATAGCAACCATATCACATATCTGCAACCTCAGAAGAAAAAGAGAACAAAATACGGTTGAACTTTCAAATTCACCACCAATCAGAGGCCACACACGGCTATAACAAACCAACGTGAAATAAACCACATACCGCTGCCCTCATTTGATTAAGGCCTCCATTACAAGAAACCATCAGGTAGCCATTGTTCTTATAAAGCCCTGGGTTGAGATGAGAAATAATCACATCAAAGATCAGTCTTGCAAGTTGATCAATTCAAAAGGAAATACAAATCAGTTTGAAGGGATAAGTAAGTCCCAGTTTTTGGAATAGAATTAGAACAACTATCTCATGCAGAATGATAATGATCTTCAATTGTCTCAACTACATGTGTTACAAGGTTTCTCATCTATAATCAACAGTCTCTAACACCTATATCTAGACATCTAGTAGAATATCCCTTCTATAAGGCGTATACAATATACATATTTTCCTTGCCCTCTTGGATCGAAACAGGAACTGTAAACCATCAGATCGCAGAGAGATTAGCGAAAATCAAGTTACCAAAGCAGGAATATAAAAGAAGCAGCAGATAATCTACTCACTCTTGGGCGGAAGAACTCTAGCGGGGACATCTCGAACCGCACTGAGATGCATTGCCGAAGCGGAGTCCTGCGAGAAACAGGAAGGCCAGCCCTTCAAAACCCTCGGCCCCCAAGTCTCCCCCAATGTCGTCAATTGAACAAAGCAAGTCCACAATAGCACGGAAGTGGTCGCCCTTATCATCCACAGCTTCATTCTCGACCGTGAAATCACAGAACTCTTTAGCTTCTCCACCCGACTATCCCCGAACTTGGTCGCCGTCTTAATCCCCATTGCCCCTATCACCCACTTCCTCCTTTCTCGCTGCTTCCCTACTTCACTCTCCTCCTCTCCCTCTCCTCTGCACATATCCCCCCATACATTCAACCTCCCTCCTCACTTTTAGTTCCCTATATTTTATTCGTCAAAATCTCACCTCAAACCGCACAAGGAAACTGCGTGTTCTAGAATAATGTGGGATCCAAGAATTTCCAAAATTGATTCGAAAATTAACAGCAAAAAAAAACAATTTGTACTCCCAGCTTATTGTACGAAATTTCGTTCAGATTCGAAAATTGTAAATCTGACCAAAACGAATTCTGAAAAGAAATAAAGAATCCTCCTCCTCTCTTCAAACGTGTTGATAGAACTTGAAGAAAAACACCAGAAAACGAATATTCTTCCCAGACGTGGAGTGAAGGCGCTAACTTTATTCAAGCATTGCAACAGATTCATCATAAAGCTTCCATCGTTCAGCGATCAACCCCAACCGAAATTTTGTGCTATCTCAGAAATAGAGCGGGAGAGATTGGCGACGAATGTCGCGGAGATCTGGCAGATTTTCCGGCGAAAAGACGGGAGGATAACCGGAATCTGAAACGTCGGCGGTCGGCGACGAGAGTAGAAAGCGACAGCGAAGATTAGAAGAAGAAGAAGAAGAAGAAGAAGAAGGAAATTGAGAGAAAAAAAAAATTAATAAAAATAAAAAGATAAGAACAGCGTGGGTTGGGGGTTAGTACTGGAGTGGTGCGGTGTTTGCCTTCTTAACCATGCCGTTAGTTGGGTGTTATTATCCCCTGCGGGATGCTCCATTGTTTTACCGTATTCTGTATAAAACTATTTTACATTTTATTTTAAAAACATATTTATTTTTGCCAATACCTTAAATTATACTCACTCTATCTCATTTTACCCCGTCTTATTTACTACCCCTCTGTCCCATTTTGTATGTCTGGTTCAGTTAACAATACTTGACTGAAGTTATTTTTAATTCAATTTTTTATAATATTAAATTTAGTATTAATATACAAAATTTATATATTTAGAAACTACACTAAAAGTACTATTAAATACAAAAAATCAAATTTAAAAATAAGTAAAAAATAATAAAGAAAATAAACAAAGAAGAAAGAGTTGGTTGACCAATGAATAGTAAGTGGGACAGATAAAATGGGACAAATGGAGTATTTATTTGTCAAATTAATCTTTTCTTTTTGCTTATTTCTTTATTTTTTTAAATTTAAATTTTTATATTTTATAGTACGTTTAATATAGTTTCTAAATATATAAATTTTATAAAATAATACTAATTTAATTCAAAATAACTTCAGTCAAGCCTTGTTAATTCTAGTAGACATATAGAATAAGACGGTGGGGGTATATTTAAAAGAACTTGAGTCGCGAGATTTCAATGAATTTTAGCTAGATTAGTCATGTCTTATCATGTGCAAATACTAATGTGAGGGGGAAGAGTTCATGTAAGACCATGTTCCCATTTTAAAAGTTATGACTTATTTAATCCATCCATTTGAATATATCAATGGTTATAGTTGTTGAAAAATATGGACAAAAATGGTAAAATTAATTTTATAAATATTACAAATTCTCAAAATTGTGAGATTTCATTGAATCCTACAAGTGTGGACGTGCGGACAAATTATTTTTGGATCAATGTGTAAATTCTCTTGTGAGACCGTGTTACGGGGAGCGTTATGTTGTGCACACGGTTGCAAAAACGACGTCGTTTTGACGTCCGACTTAAAAAAAAAAAAAAAAAAAAAAAAAAAAAACAAACAAACAAACAAACAAACAAACAAAACAACAAAAAAAAAAAAAAAAAAAAAAAAACTACACATCCATAACTTCATAACTATACATCCAGAATTGCATAACTACACATCAATAACTTCATAACTATAAATCTAGAATTGCATAACTACACATCTATAACTTCATAACTATACGTTCAGAATTGCATAACTACACATCTATAACTTCATAACTATACGTTCAGAATTGCATGCAACTACACATCCATAACTTCATAACTATACATCCAAAATTGCATAACTACACATCCATAACTTCATAAATATACATTCAAAATTGCATGCATAACTACACATCCATAACTTCATAACTATACATTCAGAATTGTATGCATAATTACACATCCATAACTTCATAACTATAAATCCAGAATTACATAACTACATATCCATAATTTCGTAATTATAAATTCAGAATGTGAAATTATAAAATTATGAACATATGTTTACGTAACTAACGGCAATCGATTTTTTTTGTTTACTTCAGTAAAACGATGCCGTTTTTGCATCCGTGTGCACCATGCATGGCGCACACGGATGCACAACATAATTTGCGGGTTTAACAATATTATTTCGTGCAAACTATCTATTAGTTTTGCTATAAAGTATCTACATCTACATCTATCTATCCACATCTATCTACAATTCTAATAAAAGCCAATAATGTTAGGCCCTTAACTGGAACAAAAAAAAAATGTCAGTACTATTGTTTCTTAAAATGAATGGTTCATATTATTTTGATTTTAGTATTTTTTTAATGATTTTCCATATTTACCCTCTATTATATTATTTTCTTCCTTAAATAACCTAAATTCCGTTAGTATAAACTTTAGTAACGGAATATTCCGTTAACTATTTATTATTTTTAACTTACTCATTAATTTTTATAAGAAATTTCTTAAACATATACTCTGGATATGTTAAAATGTATTAATATATATATATATATATATATATATATATATATATATATATATATATATATATATATATATATATATATATATATAATTTAACATAAACTTTGGTCAAATACTTAGTCCGACTAAATACATAACATTCAAAGTTAAGCATTAAAGATTATAAATCAAGAACTTTAAAAATCATTTGATTTTTATGCATTTAAAAAAAAAACAAATTTAGGTTAAGTTTTTTTCCATTAATTAATCTTCTTTTAATTATTTATATCAGAACTAAAATTCATATTTCAATTATACTTTTGCATTATTGGTATGATTTAGGTCATTATGGTATTAATATTTTTTTGTATGTATTTTTATAAAGGTACAATTGTACATTACTTTATAAATAATATACTATTATTTTTTTTATCGAACAAAATTGTTCTTACATTATAGTCAGACATGCACGACCTAACTACAAAGTTGTTGATCATAAATACAATTACACCTGCACTCTAAAACCGTACGACCATTTTTCAAATAATTGACAATGTTGACATCCCACTGGCTCCAAGCCTCCAATTAAACAAGTTTACACATCAGAATTTTATCAATACATGAAAACTTCTAAAGAAATCTGTAAGTTAATATTTTCTATATCATTATAACAATATCTATTGTAACTATATATTTTGAATTATTTATTATCATCCCCTATTGACAGGAATTGTAACAATTGTCATTGACAAACTCTGAAAACAATTTGTCTCAACAACGAATGTAAATTATAAAAAAAAAAATCAATGATTTCATTATTATTGATGAAAAGTATGTACGCCACTTTATTACTCTTATTAAATTAAATAAATTAGTAGCTACAACAAAAAATAATACATATGCATTTAATTAATTTAGAATTAGATGTCTATAATACCCTTATTTAAAAAATTATTCATTATAAAAAAATTTAAAAGAGATTTTTTTTTTGAAAGCAATTTAAAAGATATATAATTCCATTAGTTATATTATATTTATTTTCTACAATTCAAAGATTCATTACCTTCAAATTTATTAATTTATTATTTTCACTACATTGTCCATTGTCTCTTTTTTACATTATCTTGTAATTAAATATTAAAAATATTTTTTATATATATATTTATTAAAAAAAATATTAAAGCTGGCGTTTGTAGAGAACCGTCGAGAAGAGACGGAGAGAGGCCATAGGTGACAGAGTTTGTAGAGAGGACAGAGGCAACCTAGTATATTCGTTCTCATCCCTGCGCCGGTACTCCACAATCTCGTATATATATTTCTTTTTAGTTTTCCTGGTTCATTTTTCTCAAAAAAAAAAAAAAAAAAAAAAAAAAAAAAAAAACATTGTTCGTCTTGCCTCCTCTCTCTTTGCTATGGATAAAGTTGAGGTTTCCCGTCCTATTGGAACAATTTTGGATGGTACCAATTATACTCTATGGTCCCAACGCATGAAGAGTTTTTTAATTGGGCGCAAGCTTTGGCATATTGTTACTGGTGATATTGTTGAACCAACTCAAAATGTTGGTGTTGAAAATGATGACGAATATGTTGACCGTCTTGAAGAGTGGGATAGTAAAAATCAGCAGATCATTACTTGGTTTTCTAATACCTCTATTCCATCCATCCATATACAGTTTGCAAAATTTGATACAGCAAAGCAAATATGGGATTTTTTGTCTAATCGATACAAAACAACAGGGCTTGCACACTATTATCAATTGCTCACCACTCTCAACGATCTTAGACAAGACTCGGGACAATCTGTAAATGATTTTTTTGCAACCATTCAGCCTATATGGGATCAGTTGGCCCAGGATACGATAAGTGATGATCACCTTCATCTCATTCAAGTTCTTATGGCTCTTCGTCCTGAATACGAATCTGTTCGTGCCGCTCTCTTGCATCGTCATCCATTACCAACTTTGGATAGTGCAATTAAAGAACTTCTATTTGAGGAGACCCGCTTGGGTTTAATCAAGCCTTCTTCGATAGATGTTGCTCTTGCTATTACTCCAGCACACTCCACACCTAGCTCTCGGTTTTGTAAGAATTGTCGCTCTACTGGACATATTTTCTCTACTTGTCCTACTGTTGAGTGCAGGTATTGTCATGGACGTGGTCATATTCTTGAAAATTGTCCAACTCGCCCTCCGCGACCAAAGGGGAATTCAAAGAAAACTCAGTCATTCTCCAAACAAGGTTCCACTTCTGTTGCAGCAGCAACTGCTCACTCTTCTTCCCCCATTACCATTAGTGATTTAGAGGCACTTCTCAAACAGGTGATGTCCCCTAGTTCTTCCACCTCCGCTGCTTTCTCTGCCAC